TGGCTCTCCCGGCAGCCGACGTTGAAAGTGTTGGGGGCCAGATGAAAGGCTGGAGGGGAGCAGGACGGAGAGAGAAGGTGAGAGGAAGCAGAGGGCGACGGGGTGCCCGTGCTGGAGGTGGTCGGGGAGGTGCCTGTGCTGCCTCCTGCAAAACAAAGCAGACGGGAGGGTGTTCAGAGCCCGGGGCCGCATCTGCGGAACGGGACCATCTCGTTAAAAACCAGCTTAGTCCAATAAAGAAACAAGGGTGGTAAAACGGCCACGGGAAATCCTAGCTTTTCCTGGCAAGGGCCCTCACTTTATTGCTAGCACCCCTTGGTCTTTCCTGCTGCTTTTTTGTTATGATTTTGTTTTTCAATGGAGGTTTTCTTCCCTTTTAAAATAGGAGAGGGAAGCACGGCTGCACGGAGCAACTCAGGGCAGCGGGGAAAAGCTGTGAGGAAGCACCGCTCCACCGGTCAAGAGATCTGCCATTTCCAAGCATGTTTATCTACTCTTTTTCTAAAAAAAAAAAAAAACCCAGAAAAAAAGATCTCATCTCCTTTCTCCTGGTCTGCAGGGAGACCACCCATCAGCGGTGGGTCACGTATCCGTGTCGGTAGTATCAAGGTATGACACATCATTTATGCCACGATGAGAGAACTGATTATTTTGCACAGCAGGAGCGCTCACGTGTTCTGACCTGGGAAAACAATACTGCACGACACCACCAAGAACGGTAACACACCGACAGTAAGTGATATGAAGAGGCACAATTTTGAGCTTGAGAGGAGATAATTTATAGGCAAGAGTCTGAGTTAGAGGAAGCTGCCTTGGCCAACCAGGAATATCAGTCCTGTGCTTAAGGGAAGGCAGCTGTCTGGTGTGAAACATATTTCTTTTTTTCCGTTCGAATGATTCCCCTTGCATGAGAGTCCATTTCTGCATTAGGACAACTAACTCTGAAGATCCTTGTAAATGGAGCAAAGAGGTGCTGGTGAAGAGATCTGACCAGGGGATAAGTAGAAGCAGAGGAAGGTTCTGCTAGCAAGTTGTCCATGAAGACAACTGGTGAGGCAGCATTTTGGACAGGCTAGAAGATGACAGGTGAGAGGCAAAGAGACTGGGAAAGAGGGCATTAGGGTGGGCAGCTGGAATTTAACCAAGGCAGAGATTGAGGATCAAATTAAGGGACAGCTTTCTCTTGTGTCATCTTGTGGAAAAAAAACCCAACCAAACAGCAGGATTTTGAGACCCATCTAGGCCTGCTGCAAAATGGGAGAGGAACTGAATGCAGCGCTGCTTGACGAAATAGAATAGGTGATGCTAATTGTTCAGAGATGCTCTACAAAGACAGGTTCTATATCAGTACATGATGGTGAGAATGTGAGATTATATCTCAGCATGGGAAAGACATGGACCTGTTGGAGCAGGTCCAGAGGAGGGCCACGAAAATGATCAGAGAGATGAAATCTCTCTGCTATGGAGACAGGCTGAGAGAATTGGGGTTGTTCATCCTGGAGAAGAGAAGGCTCCGGGGAGACCTTATTGCAGCCTTCCAGTGCCTAAAGGGGGCCTATAAGAAAGATGGAGACAGACTTTTTAGCAGGGGCTGCTGCAAGAGAACAAGGGGTAATGGTTTCAGGCTAAAAGATGGTAGGTTTAGACTAGATCTAAGGAAGAAATTCTTCACTATGAGGGTGGTGAGGCACTGGAACAGGTTGTCCTGAAATGCGGTAGATGCCCCATCCCTGGAAACATTTAAGGTCAGGTTGGACAGAACTCGGAGCAACGTGATCTAGTTGAAGATGTCCCTGTCCGTGGCAGGGGGGTTGGACTAGATGACCTTTAAAGGTACCTTCCAACCCAAATTATTTTGTGATTCTATGATATCCCACTCTTTCTAACACAGGTAGGATGAAACAGAACGGGGCATTGGAGTGAAAAATGTAACTTTGAGACGTTAATAATATTTGGGCTTTTTTAATTTAAAAAAATCTGAAACGAGAGCCAGAAAAAAAGAAGAAAAACAGCCTTGGGTAAGCACAGCCTGGAGTGGCTGCAGCTGACCCAGGCAGCATCAAGAAAAGCCATGCTGCTGTGTTGCTGAGTCAAAGCGGTCGTCCCCAGCACCAGCCATGGGGATGAACGCTTACTTCTGAGCCAGACTCCTTTGGATATTCACTCAGAAGCATAAAAGGGAAGCATTGAACCAAACCTCCATTAGAATTAATGGGAAAATCTGAGGTTTCAAATGGCATCATGGGCTTTCTATTTGCTTCCCTTCTTGACAACACTGGCATGCTCAAACTTGCTAGTGTTTTTGCTCCATGAAGACTTTTTGTATGAATTTCTGATTTAGTATTTATTTTAAAAGGTACGCTTCTCTGGTTCATTTGAAGTCTCTTTCGGACAACGTCCGGCTCATTTTGTTGAGGTAAGTTAAGAGGGTACCTCCTCCAGCTTTTCCCCCAGTCTCTCTGTTGCAGGAACATCTGCCTCTACACAAGCACTTCCATTGCAAAGTCTGTTTTAGTTGAAACTGCTGATAAAGGTGAGACTGAACTGGGGTTCACAACTACAGACACACATTTTCCTGCTAGCCCGGCGCCAAAGAGGGTAACCTCTGGCAGAGGGGGCAGGCAGCTGAGTTCAGATATCATCACCTGGCCATCAAAGCCCAAAATAAAGAGGTCACATAATCACGAAACAAATCCAGCACCAAGTGTGATGTATTTAACCCGCAGTAATCCCACACTTGGTTCTTTACACCACATATTTCATGAGCAAACTTCAGACAGTGACTTACTTGCTGACAGTGTCTGGAGAATAAGTAAAAATACATGTGCATATAGGTACGAGCTTTTAACGATCTGTTTGAAATAAAATATATGTAGAATAAATGATTAACCTCAAAGTCTTCTTTTCAGTCTTCCTTTACCCCACGGTTAACCTTTAAAAACTATGCAGGAGAAGAGCACGCTCACCAGTTACCTCGAGCATCAGGCTGTAAACATCTGCTGAGTTAGGACTGAGTCGCACCCATACCCGAGGCTTTAGCTCCACAGAGTAAGTAGAGATCTCTGATTAGCAGCTGAGAAGGTCGTTTAACGGTTCCAAAACTGAGAATTGCACATTCATAGATTCATAGATTTCTAGGTTGGAAAAGACCTTAGAGATCATCCAGTCCAACCGTCCCTAATCCCCATTAAACCATGTCCCTAAGTAGATCATCCGCCCTGTTCTTAAACACATCCAGGGATGGGGACTCAACCACCTCCCTGGGCAGCCTAAGCCTAACACATTTCAGGTTACCCCCAAAGAGAGCCTGAAGTGATTCTGTTCTGACCTATCCCTATTTGCAGGCCAACAGGAAAACCCTAAAGTGACAACACAGCAATTAGGAAACAAAGTAAAAAAAAAGATTATTTTTTTTTTTCTCCATAACTTTAAAATGACGAGAAGGTGAGAGATCTACCAACGGGAGCGAACGCCAGACCTAATACCTGTTTCAGGAATGCTTTGCTGCGGATGCCAACCCCAAGCACAGGACACACCACGCTTCTGCTGCACCAGAGCATAACGCAGGAGCCTGAAGTTCCTGATCACCTGCAGAATAATCTTTACACCTCGAAGTGGAACGGGAAGCCATAGAAAGCAAGGCCCATCTCGGCTCAGTCTCCTCAGAAGCCAAACAGCTCTACTCTACTCAACGATATTTCTGCTCCGTCTTTGCTGAAAGCACTAAGAATGGGCCAAGGCAACCTGGACTTTTGTGAAGTTATAACTTGGACCGTAGCTGTTGCGAAGTCAGCCAAATACCCCTGGAGATGGCAGCGAGCCCAGCAAGTACATCACACCATTCTGCAGTCTCAGATACACAGATGTGTAAGTCATTGGAATGGAAGGCATGGATACAAACCAACCTAGTTAAACTGATACACAAAGCGATGCTTAGGTCTGGTTTAAGTCAAGTGAAACCACATTTAAGCAAGAACAAAATGAATCCACCAGTAATTCTCCCCTGTTCCTTTTCTCTACCCACTGCTGCCCCTGGGAATAATTGCCAGCACCAACAGCATTTACCAGTAATGTCACAGTATCTCTCACCTCCAAACTTATGATGATTCCAAAGTGACTCATTATTATTGTGTCTAGTCTCCAGAAGATAATTTCTGGCCCTGCGTACATCAGTCCCACATACGTGTGGTTAGCAAGTCACATTTGCATAAAATACAAGGTTTGTAATTTCAAAACCTTCTCCTTTGTATCTGAACCCTGACCCACATGGCAGATGAAAGCATCCGTCCTCACAGTGTCCTGCTGTTATGTCCAAGGTTTAGCCAAGCTCTGGTGTCCTCCTGAAGGGAGCCTGCTCTCTCTCTGGGCATGTAAGTGATAACTAAGTTGACCTTATCAAAGAGATAGGAGCATTTCCAAAGAAGGGGAGCGGGGAGTAACCTAGTGCAAGAAAGATCAAAACCTGCAAACTGGACTGAAAAGCAAGAAATAATTGGTAAGGAGAGAAGGTGGAAAAAAGAATGCAATCATGGTGGAAGACAGGGAAACCCTGTGGGGAGGTGGGATGTAAAGGCAAACCTTCTTCCCCATGCCAGCATTCCCTCTTGTGACACCAGACAGAAATGCTGGCTCTGCGCCAGCGTCAAATACCTGCCCACGAGGTTTTGGGAAGAAACTATAGCTTCTCATCTGGATACAAATAAGAACCATCAAAACGAAATTTCATCTCAAGTAGCTGATGACCAGTCTTTCTTCTCCATCACGTGTCCTTCTAAGCCTTGGTAAGGGTGCTGTCTGCCTGGACGTTCCAAACAGATCCTTGCTTTCACTTTCATCTAGCCCGAGCTTGTGCTAAGGACAATTTCAGGATAAACTGCAAGCCCAAACATACCCAGCCCAGGGCATGATGTGCCTTAAAACGAGGGGCTAGAGTTTTCTTGAAGCTCTCAGCATGCCAAGGTGCCTGAAAGGCAACGGGGACCTCTTCGGCATAGGGCAGGTCACGAAGAGAACTCCTAACGTATAGATAGAAACACACCTGCCAGAAGCCGTGTCAACCAAGGGAGCAATTGCGCATGGAAAATTTTCTGGGATCTCTCTTACGAATGACAGCACACTAACCAGTTGAGCCACAACTTCTCCCAA